ACAAAAACGACAGCAACTTGTCTGTTCCCCTTCCCCCAATTCCCCAGCACTTTTCCCATCCCCCCAATTCCCCAATTAAAAAAAATCTTAAAAAAAAAGAACTTAAGGAAAGAGTGAATTTAAGCTTCTGATTGCAGAGAATTTTGAACATGTTTTCCTGGCAATACAAACATGTAACACTTCCACATCTAGCTCTCAAGTTTATAGATGCGATTTTTTTATCATGTCTTCTTCTCAAAGGTCTTCTAAATGCATCTATTCCTCTAACTACCACGGAGTTTCTACTATAAGAGTAGGTCTTGAGGGGCATCATGTTAAAATAGATATGGTCTCTATTCGGGACATTTGATTTGAAGGCATCCATACTACTACGATAGAAGTCACTGCAAGGTAAAGGGGAGCCCAAGGACTGGGGCCTCCATCCTACCTCCAGTCAACTTCATCTTAATTAATACATATGAATATTTCTAGGTAAGGAGAAGGTACCAGGTAACTTGCCTTGGGACCCAATCAGCCCTACAGTGTTCTGAAGAACTGGTCCATCTAGTAGAACACTATGGAAACAAAAGTTTGGTCCTTTCCTCGCCGAAATGAGGTTTTGACTTAACCTTAAATTTCATTTGAAAGAGTCCCTGCTATTTAAAAGTGAAAAGAAAGTACTTAAAACACGTTTCAACTGGGTTGAAAGCAGCTTGACATAGGAATTCCTAATTATAGGGAGCGGCATTTGATGAAGCAAGCAAAATTACAAAGCCAAAAACAAAGGATGCCTTAAATTCAGTCAAAACAAAAGGGTTGGAAATGACATGTGAAGTTTTTCATAATCAATACATGAAAAACAAGCCATTCACCTGGAGAACAAAGGAAAAGTAGATGTTATGGACATGGGGGATAAAAACTAAACTCATATCTCACAGATCACTTGGTGTGGGAATGTGAGAGGCTCTGGCCTCAGCTATACCTGTGTTCAAATTCTGGATCAGTCCCTTAATCAATGTGTGTGACATTGGGAAATTTATTTAACTTCTTCGCAATCCACATTCCTCAACCTTAAGATGAAAAACTGAGAAAATTATAAGAAATTAAAAGGTTGTTTTTGGATTAAGTAAATGCTCAATACATATAAATTTCCTTTGCTGTATTGTTATTGGCAGTAATAAGGTAAGCTGGTGATTGAAACATCAGTGGGAATGGAAAGATGAAGAAAGAATCTGTATAATTACACATCCCTGTCTCCCACACTCTCTCCCAAAATCTATATTCCATGCATTCTAGAAACACCTACTAAATCACAAGGCTAAATACTACACATCATTATTTTGTTTAAAATAGCTGGTTCAGGATATAAGGAGGTGATGGTGTGACAAAGTGCTTTGTGTTACAAACCTCAGTAAAAGCCCTAAAAGTACTAGAACTGGCAATTTTTCAAAGTTAAAAACTATCACATTCACTAAGGAACCCAAGTTCATACTGAATTTCTCATCCATGTTCCTTCCTCTTGGGAGAAATGTTATGCGTCTATTAATGTGCTTCCTCCCCAATGGCAGAAATCATGATTCCCATTACCATTCATCCTTGTCAGCATCACAATTGCAAAAGTGCCGAATGTCCAGGCAAATCTCATCCAGGCCACATTCACATTGCTGAACTCCAGGAGGAGCACCTCCCCAGTAAGGGTGCCTTTCTTTGGACCGCCCAATCCACCAGGTAAATGGGACTCCATCTAGAAAACAAGCGATTTCACAGGTCAGAGTGGAGGAAGCCTGGGATATCACAGCAGGTATCACAGAAACTGAAATAAAATGTCCTGAAGAATACCCACATATCTTCCTTCCTCTCTTGTGTTCTTTCTTCCCCTTTCTTGTTTCTTTCTCTTTCTTCTTTCTTTCTTTCTTTCTTTCTTTCTTTCTTTCTTTCTTTCTTTCTTTCTTTCTTTCTTTCTTTCTCTGTTTCTCTCTCTCTCTATATATATATATCTATTTCTATACATTTCTATATATATGTATACACATATGCACATATATAGATAGATATCTATATCTATACTTATCTATCTATCTATACATATGCACATATAACTAACATGCTCATGGAAAGTATTTATATAGTAGGATACTGATTGATCACAATATTCAGAGGCAGAGTCAGAAACTTAAATGTTTACCAAATCAGACAAGTATGACAATTGAGTAAAGTGGGCCAGATTACAGAGCAAAAATCAATTAATATATAGACACAAAAAGTAGTTTTCCTAAAACTACCAAAGGGCAAACAGTCCTTCTGAACACTGGGCCTAGCCCATATAAGGCTGGTCTGTAGCCTCCAATTCTGGTTTACATAGTTAACAGCAAACTGTTATTGAGTCTTGTCTTTGTCAATTTCGTTCTATGCAAAATGTAGTAAAATCTGTTGGAGATATTTTTTTATGATTGGGAATACTTCAGCAGATCAAAATTATGATTCATAAGATGATAATGTATCCAAAATCATACATGTGCTTAATACATCATTAGGCTGAATGGGGTTATGTTTAGGGTCCTTTTAGAAATTGCTGTTTTGTTTCTGTTGAGTATATAACAGCCATTTAACATATATTTATTTTTGAAATGAAAGAAATATTTATTAAGGTTTATTTTTCATGATTTTCCATTTTAAAGTAGATTAATAATATTGTCTGAGAATGCTACTATGGTGAAATTTTGCCTGGTCAGTATTTGATTTTTATGCAGCTCCTGATTTACAAACATGCAATTAATAAAGTATGCATTTATACAAATAGCAACAACTTTCCCAAATTTCTTTCATTGCTAATGTCCCATGAAAGTCACTGAGGCATGGAGGAAGAGAAATGACAATCTGGATTGTCCAAGAATATGTAAGTCATGAGAAAAAGACGGGGAAGGTACCGTGAAAAACACAAGTATTTTTGGGGTGGTTATCAGGGGCAGACAGCCTGAAGGACTATACTAATGCCAAAATGTCACTCTTCATTCTGCCTAAAATGTTATTCAAGCCCTTTTGTAATCTTTTAAAGCAGAATTCCACTTAGAGATGTCTGTTAACCAGTCTTTTTAAAGAAATAATTATTATAAATGATGAATCCATTTACCTAGTTTCAAACAATTATAAGCCATTGAACATCAATTCAAATTAATTGCTTGCTTTCTAAACCCTAGCTCATATAAGCCCCACTCAAGTGGCCTAGAGGGCTGGTGGGTTTATTTAGAGCATAAAGTTATTTCAGGACTGGGGTAAGTTTAGGTGGATCTACTCAGTATGTGAGCCCAGGCAACAGAAGGCTAAACCATTGTGTATTTGAGTATGTTTGCCCTTGTTGGCATTGTGTCCAAGAAATGACAAAGAATCTCTCCACCTTTCCCTCCTTCTAGTGTTGCCCAGACCTCTTGCCAGATCAAATAGTAAAGTTCAATGTCACCATGGACTATTTTTGTATATGAGATAAATCAAGGTTGTAATCATAGTAATAGCATCATTATTAATGGTAGGGGTTCTGGAAAACCAATTTGTGTAGAGATTCTGGTACATATGCTGCCTTCTGGTAGTTTACCAATTCTTATTTCGTGTCTTAAACCCCTAAAGTTCCATCAGCAGCCAAAGGCTTTGTGTTTTGAATTCATCAGTGTCTTGTACCACTGAAACTTGCGGCCCCTCCTCATGTCTGGAAATCAGAATACAAGTTGCAAATTGTTTTAACTGATTGACAGTTAATGAGTGAGGAGAAAAGAAGGGGGGAAGAAAGAAAATACACACATGCGCACACACACACACACACACACACACACACACATTTGAAACCAGTTTGGCTGCTGGATTTTCCTCCTAGATGTTCTGTCTTTGTGTTTGCTTCCCTGTGGAGTACTATAATAAATAGAGAGAATGCATGTGGAAAATGAGGATTAAAAGTGGGATGTATTAGCCTTATTTCATGACTCTATAAATGTGGGCAGGAAGAGAATCTATACCCTAGTAGCTGCAAATTTGTTCCATTGCAGAAATTGAATTTATTTTCTCCTGATAGAAAGTTCTTTCAAAAGTGAGAGAACAAAGCATTATATATATATAATTATATATAATTATATATATATAATTATATATATAATTATATATATATAATTATATATATATATAATTTTATATTTATATTCGTATGCGGACTACAAAAGTAACAAAAAAACTAACAAAAAACCTCATACATACAGACAACAGAATGGTGGTTACCAGAGGGGATAGAGGATCGGGGAGGTCAAAGTGGATAAAGGTCAAATACATGGTAACAAAGGAAACTAGACTTTGGGTTGGGAGCACTCAACAGAGTATACAGATGTCAAATTATAAGCTTGTACATCTGAATATTATATAATGTTATTCATTAATGTTATTCATATAAATTTAATATAAAAAGTGATAGATTTTAGGAAATGCTTTGATTTACTCTAGGCCTTTGCATTGACCATATGCTCTTTTCCACTGCCATTTCCTCCCGCCTACTAGTATTGATCAGAGTTTATCTTTTTCATAAAGTTCTAGCCTGACGACCCTAAAATTGTAATGCACACTTCTTCACAACACACCTTCCCCTTACTTGTCCTGATATTTCTATAGCTTTGTCCTTTTCTAAATACTGAAATTATGTAATTATTTTTATTGTCTACTCCCCATAAATACATTGTACTTATTTGAGGGCATGTTTAATTTGTTTATTTGTTTTGGTGTTTAAGTGAATTAGCACAGGTGTCTAGAATATAATAGCTTTGGGAATATTATAGATCTTCAGTAATATTTGTTGGATGAATATATATATATATATATATATATATATATATATAATGAGATAAGACAATTAAATTCACGAACTTGTTGCAACAATGCTACTAACTTTTTTTGCTATCAGAGGGATTATTCATTATGAATTTGTACCAGCTGCACAAACAGTTATCCAAGTTTACTAAAGGCTGCGTGAAAAAGTTAGATGACCTGAACTTTCTGCCAACAATTCATGGCTCTTGCATCATGACAATGCACCAGCTCACACGGCACTGTCTGTGCAGGAGTTTTTAGCCAGTAAACAAATAACTGTTTTGGAACACCCTCCCTACTCACCTGATCTGGCCCCCAATGACTTCTTCCTTTACCTGAAGATAAAGGAAGTATTGAAAGGAAGACATTTTGATGACATTCAGGACATCAAGGGTAATACAATGACAGCTCTGATGGCCATTCCAGAAAAAGAGTTCCAAAATTGCTTTGAAGGATGGACTAGGCGCTGCCGTCAGTGCATAGCTTCCCAAAGGGAGTACTTTGAAATTGACTGTAGTGATATTAAGCAATGAGGTATGCAGCACTTTTTCTAGGATGAGTTTGCAAACTTAATTGTCTGACCTCATATCATCCTTTTAATGTGTTGTTGTGTTAGATTTAATAGTGTTTTGTTTTAGGTTTTTGTGTCTGTGTTCATCAAAGATATTGGTCTGTAGTTTTCTTTTTTTTGTGTGATGTATTTTCCTGTTTTTGGTATCGGGGTAATTTTGGCCTCATAAAATGTGTTAGGGAGTATTCCCTCTTCTTTAACATTTTGGAACAGGTTGAGAAGGAATGGTATTAAATCTTTGAATATTTAATAGACTTCAACAGTGAAAAATTCTAGTCCTAGCAATTTCTTTTCTGGGAGGTTTCTAATTATTGTTTCAATTTCCTTGATAGTGATGACCCTACTTGCATTTTCAAAATCTTCATGATTCTTTCTAGGAATCTTGTATGTTTCTAAGAATTAATGAGTCTATTTCCACTAGCTTATACAATTTAGTGACATATCGTGTTTCAGATTATTCTTGTACAATCCTTTGTATTTTTGTAGTATCTGTTGTAACTTCTCTTTCATTTCTAGTTTTATTTAATTGATTCTTTTTTCTTTTTAATAGGGTGTCTAGCAAGAGGTTTCTCAATTTTATTTTATTTTTTTCAAAAAAAACAGCTGTTTATTCCATTACTTTTTCTACTGTCTTTTTTTTTTCTGTACTTCATTGAGTTCTGCTCTGATTTTTATTATTTCCTTCCTTCTACTGACTTTGGGCTTTGTTTTTTCTTATTTTTCTGTTTCTTTAAGGTGTAATGTTAGATTGTTTATTTGAGTTTTTTTTTTCTTTAGCTAGGCCTGTAATGCTATAAACTTCCCTCTTAATACCAATTTTGCTGCATCCCAATAATTTTGGTTTGTCATATTTTTATTTCACTTTTCTCTAAGTATGTTTTCATCTCTTCTTTTATTTATTATTTGACCCAGTAGTTGATCAGTAGCATGTTGTTTAATGTCCACATATGTGTGGATTTTCCAGGTTTCCTCTTGCAGTTAATTTAATTTGGTATCACTGTGGTCAGAAAATATGCTTGGCATAATTTCAATCTTCTTAAATTTATTGAGACCAGTTTTGTGCTCCAACATATAGTCTATCTTTGCAAATGTTCCATGTGCACTCGAAAAAAATATGTATTTTGTTATTTTAGGATGAAATGTTCTATAAATATCAATTTACCTATCTGGTTTAATGTGTCAGTTAAGGCTGACATTTCCTTAGTGATTGTATGTCTCAATGATCTATCCATTGCTGTATGCTGGGTATTCAACTTCCCCACTATAATTGTATATTTGTCAGTTTCTCCCATTAAGTCTATTAGTAATTGCTTTATACAGTTTGGTGCTCTCAA